CTACCCTCTGGGGTTTTTCCATCCCTGGTTTCCAGGGGGGGGGGTACGGATGACCAAATTAAAACCGGGGGGGGGGGCTTTCCTGCCACTGAGGAGAAGGCAAGGAGTCCAATTGGGTGTTGTGTCCACTACACAACATTGTTTAAGTGGCCAAGGATTCCTTCTGGATTATTTGAGTTGCAATGAGGCTGTCAAGGGGATGATTGATGACTCCTTTTGATAGCCCCCCCTCCCCCGGGACCCCTTGCAAATCCCCTGCCTACAAGGTCAAAGCACGGAGACCCTCATTGAGGCTGCTTAACCTTTGATCTGACCCCCCCTCCTCTCCCTCCCTCCGTTTACCACGGCCCCCTTTTATTCAAAAACCCCGTTTCCTTCCCTCCTCCTCCGACTTCCTTGGCGAGCCTGTTGACAAAACTGCACAAGCTTTGCAAAAAGGGTTGTGTAGCCGAGCGCACCTGGACGCTATCCTGAGTTTCTTTGTAAGCCTCTCCGCAAAACACACAAGGCTTCAAAAAAAAAGAGTTGTGTAGTTTGAACTCTCCTGGGGTTTCTGAAAGGTAAGCTTCTTTGCGAAACGCACAAGGTTTCCAAAACGTTGTGTGGTTGGAAATGCCTGGACTTTCTCTCCGTTTCTTTGTAAGGCTCTTTGCGAAACGCACAAAGTTTCCAAAACGTTGCGTGGGGCAACACACCGAGAGAGGAGAGAGGAGAGTTTGGGTTAAGTGCATGGGTTGCCCCCCCCCTCCCCAAAATTCCTCAGCCAGAGGGCAGGACAAGAAGCAACATGGATGGAAGCTGATGAAGGAGAGAAGCAACCGAGATTTCAGGATAAATTTCTTAATAATCGGAAGGAAACCAGTCAGTGGAACTACTCGCCTCCAGAAGTTGTGGGTGTCTTCAGAAACGAAAGGGGTGACCTTTGGACTGGCTCTTGATGAGGTCCGGTGACTTGGGAAGCGGGGTTGGGCTAGAAGACCTCCGAGGTCCCTTCTGGGGGATCTGTTTTTCGGGTGCTGGAGAAAGCGACCTCAGCCACACTTCACAAACCACCGTTTACAAACGTCACGCGTCCCACCCAGACCCACACGGTCCTTAAGTGAATCCGGCTTCCCCCCTGGACTTGGCTTGTCTGGTCGCAAAAGAGGATCACACGACCCCCCCCGGGGCAGTGCGACTGTCATAAATACGAGCTGCCAAGCATCTGGATTTTGATGGCGGGACCGTGTGTGTGTGTGTGTGTGTGTGTGTGTGTTTGTGCACGCTGCAATGGCCGTAAGTGTGAAAAATGACCCGTCTTTCAGTGCCTTTGTAACTTCGGTCACTAAACGAATTGTTCTAAGCTCGATTCGAAAAGAATCGCAAGAGGTTTTAGCTCAGGGGCACAAATTGCATTGGGGGGGGGGAAATCTCCCTCCTTTTCTTGCCTTGTTTAGAAGGCAGGTGGGAATTTTTTTGGGGTGGGGGGCAGAAGAAGCTTTGGCCCCCTTTTTCTCCATGCCTGGTTGGTGGGGGGTCGCGGGGGGAGGCGCAGGGGGGCCGCTTTCCCTTCCTCTCTCTGCAACCTTTTCTTCTTCTTCTCCTCCTCCTCCTCTTCCTCCTCCTTCGGCAGGTGATCCAGCAAGCCTTGCACCGACAACCGAACACAGCCGCACAATACCTGCAACAGATGTACGCAGCCCAGCAACAGCACTTGATGCTCCAGACGGCCGCCCTCCAGCAGCAGCACCTGGGCAACAGCCAGCTGCAGAACCTGGCGGCCATCCAACAGGTGTGTCACTCCGGCGGGGGGAGGGGGAGGGGGAGGCCACCCAAAAAGGCAGGGACTCCACCTGGGGGGGGGAGAGTGGGGGAAGGGGGTTCGTCTTCCGCTCCCCCCAAAAAAGGTTGCAAAAGAGGGAAAGGTGGTCCTCTACTTACGACCCAACATTTCTATCGTTTTGTGAGACAGCTGGGAAGTCAGTTGTGCCCCATTGAGTGAGTTGTGGTAACTGAGGTCATTAAGTGAACGGTTGTAAGTCGAGGACTCCCCGCATCAGCTCAGCCAAACCGGTTTCCGTTATATTTATTTGTTGAGATCTTAATAAGGTTCTGAGGTTGTGGGAACGGGACTTTAAACGCAGTGGGGGGTCCCCCTCTCCCCCTCCCCGCTTTTGCAGGCCAGCTTGGCAGCCAACCGGCAGGGCGTCTCCCCCTCCTCCAACGGGGCCACGCAGACCCCCACCCAGCAGCCCACGGTAAGGCGGAGCCCGGCTGAGCTTCCCTCTGGGGGTTGAGTGGGGGGGGGCTCCCCTTTCCCTTAGAGCCGGCCGGGCTCACTGACCCCCGCTCGTCTCTCGCCTCCATCCAGATCAACCTGGCCACCTCCCCTGCGGCGGCCCAGCTCATCAACCGGGCGCAGAGTGCGAATTCTGCAGCCGCCACCGCCTCGGGCATCGCCCAGCAAGCTGTGATTCTGGGCAACACCAGCAGCCCCGCCCTGAGTGCCAGCCAGGCGCAGATGTACCTCCGGGCGCAGATGGTAAGCGATGCTGGGGGGGGGGTCCCAGTTGGCCCCAGGAGGGGAGGGGTCCTTCCAGCTTCAATCCTCTGTGTGTCAGTGCTGCCTTTGAGATGCTGCGGTTGAGAAAATGGGATTTCAGGTTCCTCCGAGCGGCTTAATTCCAGGCGGTCCCCAACTTATAGTCACGATCGGGGGCCCAACTTTCTGTTGCTAAGCGAGACAGTGGGGACATGAGTTCTGCCCCACTTTATGGCCCCTTCCTTGCCAACCCCAGTTAAGTGAGGTTCTCCCTGGCTGGTCAGAAGGTCCCCGAAAGGAACCACGTGATCCTGGGGCAGTGAAGAAGGCAGAGCTGAAGAAGCTCCTTGGACGGGAGGTGAAATGTTTCCACAGGGGGGAAAAAAACACAAGAAGAAGTTGCATTTTGGGATCATCCTGACCTGGATGGTTGGGAATCTCCATGGGCATTTGTCTGGAACCGTGGAGGGTCTCCCTGCTTGAGCAGGGGGTTGGACTAGAAGACCCCCGAGGTCCCTTCCGACTCTGCCGTTCTGTATTCTCAAAATAAGGAGGGATTTCCCGAGAGCACTTAATCCATCGGTTGCCTCCAGATGTTCAGGCTGCTCCGTCCCTGGGTGACGTTTTCAAGAAGAGACTGGACAGGGTCTCCTGCTTGAGCAGGGGGTTGGACTAGAAGACCTCCGAGGTCCCTCCCAGCTCGGTCCTCCTCTTATTCTATAATCAATTAATCAGTGGGACGGTTCGGCTGCAGGAGTTGCGGCGTCTCCATCCCTGGAGAAGAGACTGAATTACTACGTTTGTCTGGAGGGGGTGCAGGGTCTCCTGCCGGAGCTGGGGGTTGGACTAGAGGACCTCCGGGGTGCCCCGTTGTCTTCTGTGTTTTGCTTGGCCGGCTGGGATCAGCAACGGGGGAACCATTTGCTGTGATTTTCAGGCCCAGCAGACAAGCTTAATGAAAGTAGCTAGGAGCCTAGGCCGTGCTGTTCCTTTGTCCCCCCAGCTCATCTTCACCCCCACCGTCGCCGCCGTCCAGCCCGAGGGGACCAGCAGCAGCGGCATGCAGCCCCCCACCACCACCGCACCTCAGGTAAGGGCAGGGGCCGGGAAACGGGGGCCAGGGGGGGTCCCCCCTCTGCACGGGGAGCGTCCCTTCAGACGCCTTCCCTGCACGGGGAGCCACAATTTTCGCGGCTGGGCAAAGGCCACTGTTACGTGGATTTTGCCCCCCCCCTTTCCTTGTCACCGTCGTTAAGCGAATCGCTGCAGAGGTTAAGCCTGTAATATGGTGGTTAAGTGAATGAGGCTCCCCCCACTGATTTCGCTGGTCTCAAAAATGGATCGGGTGACATTGCAGCCCGGTCGTAAATATGAGTCGGTTGCGCGACCATGGAGACGCTGCAGTGGTCGTTAAGTGTGAAAAGCGGCCCTCCGTCCCTTTTTCGCGTGCGGTTGTTGTAACTTTGAACGGCGGGTTGTAAGTCAAGGAGTGGCTGCAGCTGGAAGCTTCATCTCGTCCCCAGGTGCAGAGTCCCGCTCTCCGGACGCAGCAGGCGGTGAGCCAGGCGCTGAGCTCCCCTGTGGGTCAGGCGCTGGCGCCCCCCGCCGCCCCCGTGGCGATCAAGCCCGCTCTGAATAACGGCAGCCATTCCTCCTCGTTCGCCTCCTCCTCCTCCTCCTCCTCTCCCTCCCCCGTGGCGGCTCAGGCGAAGGGCGCCAAGGAAGGCGGGCAGGAGCTCCTCTCCGAGCCGCTGAGGAAAGGGGAAGCGGGCGGGGCAGGCGGCGGCAGCGGCGGTGGCAACGGGACAGAGGCCGCCTTGGACGGACGAGGCAGCAGCGCCCCCAACCGGACAGGCCCTCCCGCCACCCCCCACCCACTGATTGCCCCAGGTGAGTGTCTCCGAAGGAGGGAGGGCCCCGGGAAAGGGAGGGTGGTGGGAGGACACGGGGAGGGGAGCCTCCTTGCGGTTCCAGGTCTTTCCTCCCTCCCTCTTCTCCTTCCTTCCTTCCTTCCCTTCCCTCCTTCCTTCCCTTCCTCTCCTTCCTCTCTCCTCCCTCTTCCTTCCTTCCCTCCCTTCCTCTCCTTCCTTCTTCCTTCCTTCCTTCTTCTCCCTTTTCCTTCCTTCCTTCCTTCCTTCCTTCCTTCCTCTCTCCTCCCCCTCCCTTCTTCCTTCCTTCCCTTCCTTCCATCCTTCCTTCCTTCCTTCCTTCCCTTAATCTCCTTCCTCTCTCCTCCCTTCTTCCTTCCTTCCCTCCCTTCCTCTCCTTCCTCTTTCCTCCCCCTCCCTTCTTCCTTCCTTCCCTTCCTTCCCTCCTACCTTCCCTTTCTTCTTCCTTCCTTCCCTCCTTCCTTCCTTCCCTCCTTCCTTCCCTTACTTCTATCCTTCCTTCCTTCCTTACCTTAATCTCCTTCCTCTCTCCTCCCCCTCCCTTCCTTCCTTCCTTCCTCTCTCCTCCCCCTCCCTTCTTCCTTCCTTCCTTCCTTCCTCTCTCCTCCCCCTTCCTTCTTCCTTCCTTCCTTCCCTTCCTTCCATCCTTCCTTCCTTCCTTCCT